AAAATGGCAAGGGAAGACAGGGTTGCCGCATTTGGCGAGGAACCGCCCATTTGGCGAAAAATTGGCGATATGCCATACACGGATGCAGAACCTTCTGGAACGAATTCTTACTGGTTTAGCACAGAATGTTCTCGAACACAAGACAAAAGCTATATAATACCTGCTGGTACGCGGAGAGTCAGTCCGTGAGGAGTTAGTGCCCGTCTAGCGAGCTGATAGTCAATCAGCGAATGTCCCGAAGTCTAGTGCTGAGTTGGTCGTCGAGTGCATCGAGAGAGTCTTTTAGTGTATCGCGAGTTGGTGCATTGTCATATTTTATCTTAGAGTGTGTTGAGCTCTGGGAACGAATGAACCGAGTCCGGAGCTGTACTCTAGTGTATCGTGTCGTTGATTAGTAACATGGCCACTGAAGAGGACTTCGAAAAAAAATATAAATATTAGTAATGAATGCATGGTTAATACAGAACATGAACGCACTAATCTCGAATCGACAGTTGATTTAGAATAACGAGATAATACTCGTAATAATACATGTGAAAAAGATTCATAAGATTCATGCATAACGATAGAAGTAGATTCTAAAGTCCAAACTAAAAAAAAAAAAAAAGAACTGAGGTTATGCTCTAGCATAACGGGTGCGATTATGAACAAAGTTCAAAATATGAAAGTGTTTCGAGAAATAGCTAAAGAAGGACTTTAGAACCAGGCAAAGAAGATGAAAGCTGAGTCTAGTAAAAACTTACCGAAATTTACTCTCGAGAAAAATTTTTAAATAAAAGTGCCTGATATTGATAGATCGAAAAATGGATCCAAAATCAGTAATAGCCGTCATTACAGATATTGAAGATATCGAGTTTTATGCTCTTGGTACTAAGTTTGTTAAATTAAAATCGTTGTAGACAAGAAACCAGTTTACATTTTGCAAAGAAAAAATTTAAACATCGAAGGAAATGGCTCAGAAGGTAATAAATGTACGGTAAGTAGTAAAATACTTTCTTTAGTTGGGAGACAAGGACTCAGAAAATGCAACTGTTCAAAGAACTCTATTATGAAGATGTGTTTCTGCAAATCAGCTTATCTATCTTATAATTCAAAATGCCATAACAGTCAACCTTGTTGTAATAGGAAATAAGAAATATTAACGAAAAATGCGCAGCACTTTTCTTATTTTTTAAATTTCATATTTTTTATTTATATTTTTTCTGAGCTATTAATTTAATTTTTTAACTATTTTCAAAAGTGTATAAAAATTTGTTTGAAATCTGTTCAGTAGTTATCGAGAGAATTGTGCATCTTATTTGTAAAATGGTAGAAATATCGCATTTTTTTAATTTTTATTATTTTGAAAAATAATTGTAAAACAGCTCCATTGATATAATCTTAAGACATGCCTTATTTGATAACTTTTACAATTTTTATTATCAATTAAAAATTAAAGTGTGTTTTAACCTTTGTGGTCACACTATATACAACATACCTGCGAATGGAAAATCCTATCATAAGTAATCCTTCATTTCGGGCTTTTACCAGAAGGCGTTGGTAACTCCTAAGACTTACCGCAAAAGCTTGGTAAAAGCCCGAAATGGAATCATATTAAAATATACTTCGGACTTTTACGAAGTCACTTTATTAAAAGCTAGGTTTTACCAGTTAAACCTAGGATTTACCAGATTTCGGGCTTTTACAATAACATATACAATTAACTACCGATACTTTTCTTTCTGTTTATCCGAAATGTTCGCCACATCCGTACATGACGTTATATGTAACGTCATTATATACATAGTGAATTTTTAAAACTACGGCGAAAACTTTATAATAAAGCAAACATTCGAAGTTTTATGCCATCATACCTCGTAATTTTTATGGTATTTTGAAACTTTAATTTCGTTTTCTGAAATATGTGTATAGTTTTCTTAAATAATATGCACGCTTTTCCATATAATTACTGAATTTAGCCCTGCAGATCAGAATAGCTACCGATACATTTCGTAGGTTGAAATTTATGCGATGGCATCACAAAATTTTAGTAAGTATGTTCTAAATATATGTAATCCCTTATCCCCCCCCCCCAAAAAAAAAAAAAAAAAAAAAAAAAAAAAAAAAAAAAAAAAAAAAAAAAACCTCTTATTTGAAATCGGCGCTGTCACGATGCTGCCAGTTAAAAGGGATTCTCCGGTATAAACTTATCAACTTAAACAACGTTGATAATTGCATTCATTTAAATCTTCGCTACAATATGACGCAAACATGCATCTAATACTTTTATAAATACCTTCTCCAGATTTATGGAATTATTTCGTATTATGTTTCCAATATTCCAATATTCCAAAATTTCCAATATTCACTAGCGTTTTAAGTTATTCACGTAGCTTTTCTCCGAAACTGCAATAAATGTCGTAATGCAATATGTATTACAGTACGAAGAAAATTGAAAATTCTGAATTTTAGGGAAGGGGTAACATTAAAAATTAAGAATTTAAAAGCTAAGAAAAAGGAATTAGACCTCTAAAGGCTGAAAATGTAATGCGATGAGAAGCATGGAAGATTTATATACGGATTAGATGTTTGCTGAGGAATGGCGTAATAGAAAAGTAATTCGTAAGAGACTGAACTACTCTGAACCATATTTGTTGATTTTGTTTACTATTTCAATAAAATATGTTTTCATCCATAGGAATTTTAAAAACACTATTCATAGCCGAAATTTCGTTTATCCGAAAATTTCATTTTGTTTAGACATATTTTTGAAAAAAACCATAAGAATTCTGATATTTGAGTTTTTCAGTTAACATTAAAAGTACTTTTTCCAGGATAAACTTTTTGAATATGAACAATATTATTATCCGATACATCATTGATCGAATACATGGGTCCAGCAGTTATTGACATAAGTTTGGTTTAGACTGCATTAAATTTCGAATTTGTGGAATGTTTCTTAACCTTTTCTGCATATGATATGCCTGGCTTGGATATGTTGCAGTCTCTGGTGGGATTTAGCTGGTTTATAGGAAATTTCAAACATTCGTAATATGACTCAACGTGGGGGCTCAGGCAATTACTGCGCTTAGGTTTCACAACTCTGCCTTTAAGTACACAATCATTAGTTTCGTGATCTAGTCAGCGCTTCATGCATCGTGAAGTGAAAACATAGTTCTCGATAAAATGGTGCTATCATCGTCAGTTATGGCACTGTGTTCACCTGAGTCTTCTAGTCATTTTCCACTGTCATAACAAAGTACAGTAGAACTGCAATTATTCGAATCAATTGGGACCGGAAACTATTCGGATAATTATATTTTTTTCTGAAGAAAGTGTCCACGTACACTTTAATTAATTACTGTATGTTAAAAATGGGAGAAAAACTATTTTAAAGGAAAAGAGGTTTAATTAATTAAAATGAAAAGGCAACACTTTTACGTACATGTTATGTAGCGTACTACGCAGTACTTACAACTGCTGAAAATCATTGCTTACTGAGCATCTCGGTCAAAGTAAGATGTTTGACGGACATCGGGCCTGCACTTAAAATTTCTTAACCAGCCGTTACTTACTTTTAAAGGATGAACTACCAAGCTTCTGAGCTAAGATCTTAGCTTTTTCACAAAGAACCGGACCCAAGACTGGGTTTCCCGTTGAACGTTGCTGCAAAAAACACTTGAAAACGACATCTTCTATTTTTTTTTTCCCCCTCATTCATTGATTTTCTTCACGAACTTCCATCTTCGTTTTGAAGCAGTGTCACGAAATTTAGAAAAGTATTTTTGCTCCTTTTAATGTACGAAATCGTTGATTGTCCAACACTACGTTTCCCTCTTAATTTTTTTCCTAAATTCTGAAAGCGATTCGGATAGTAGGAGTTCGGATAATTGGAGTTGTATTGTACATTATATATTTTAAATCATAGATCTTTTCAGTACTCTCATTCTCAAACTCATGAACCATAAAGAAGACATGGGAACCTTAGTTTTTCTCGGCATAAGTTAAATCAGTTTACTGATTGACAATCCTCTGTCTGTCAATGCTGCAATAATACTACTTTTACTTGGATTAGATGGTATGACATGTAACACAGCTTTAATTAGCTGGGCATATTTTGCATTAACAATGTAATGCTCGATATTAAAAGTTCTGAAAACTGCACTTGTTCTGAAACTGCACATAATTTTCATTATGTGCTAAATATTGTTACGAATTCTACACTTAGCTTGGCAGAAATTTTTTAATCTATGCTTTTAACTATATTTGTAGAAATGCCTCAAAATAAGACCTCCTGGATTTAAAACAATAGAAGAGATAGCCCGGGTAAGGCTAACAGTAAACTGCTGTGAGTTTTCATTCAATTTATCAGAATCTAGTGCATTAAAATGGCTATCCGTTTCAATAGGCAGGCGCATTTTATCTACTTTAATCTGTTTATCCCTGTTTTGTGTCAATCTGGAAGCCATCACTATATATCCAAACATTATCGCAATTATAAATTTTACTTTTACTTTTAGAATACATAGTTTTACGTGTATTACTGGTAGCAGTAGTATTTCTAGTGAATAAAGAGCAAGATAAATTGCACCTGCTTCGCAATTCGTTGGGTTCCTTTCTTACATCCTGTAAGATCACGATGGCTGGTGCAGTTATCTTATCAAGATCAGCAGTAGGGTGAATTTACTGGCACATCTATATAAAAACTTTGGTAGATTCAATTTGTAAATTTAATTCTTTTATGCGTTCCCGCATGAAATCCTGGGAGTTTAGCATATTATCCGAGATAGGAACGATCACCCCAATCCAAATTTGATTCTTAGTAACCATCTACCTATTGCTCTCATTCAATAGGCTATCCACATGCACCTAAGACTGAACTGCGTCTGCAGGTTTGAGCAACCAAACATGCACGGATGCAGAGGAACGAAGGATGTATAAAAGAAATTAATGAAAAAGTAAATGAAAGCAAGTGAGTGTGATAGTTTTAAGAATCCAGTAATGGTTGTTTTACTTTTTAGGGTGGTAGCCAATTACATGATCTGGAGGGCTGTTCAAGGAGCTACGATAGATTTATCTTCAGAGTGGAGGGCACTAGCTCAGGAATACGTCTCTGTAATTTCTGGAAACAAGCAAGAAGCGCCACGATGGAAAGAATGTCTTTCTTTTAGTGATGGCCTAAGTATTGCTCTCAGTTCCTACTATGTGCGCGAGTACTTCAAAGAAGAAAGCAAGCACGCTGTAAGTAATTTGTATATATCCATAATACAGCTGTTTCAAAACCTAGATGTGTTTTGCTTAAAATAATTTTTCATTGGTTGTTAAAATTGGTCATTGGCTCGATACTTTATTTATGGAAATGCTAAAACCGTGAAACAAAACGATTGTTTTGCAGATGAAAAGCTTCAGCTCCTTGAACGAGGAGAAAATTTCTTATGATTTCCGCAAATCATTCCTAAATGACTCATTCGTTGTTAACAAAATTGATTGAAATTGGTTGTTATACAAATCTTATGACGCCTTAAGAAAGGACCAGGAAATGAAAGCTCTGAACAGTTTTTAGAATAAATATAATGACTATATTAAACAACAACTCAAATATAAATGCATTAATCTAAGGTGAATTTGTGTGCATTTGTGTGCAGTGAGCAGACCACCACACCACGAAGGCATGCTAGGAAGGCGGGAGAAATACCTTATAAAGTAACGTATCGAAGTCAGCGAGTTGAAAACTACCATGTAAATATCGCTGTCTCTTCATGATTTGAAAATGTACCACGTAAATAAATTACAGTTATAACTAAGACATAAAAGGAATTTTTTACTGAAATATTGTTTCTTGTACGGCGTATAATGTCGTCATTGTGTACAATTTTTTCGAGCTTTAACGGATCTTTGGAGCACTTCACAGCTATAACATACTTGCTTCAATGGTACCTGGTCAATGGGCTATTTTGTGCAAAGAACTGTGTCCAAGCTGTCATTTGTGGAAGATTCTATTGAGCGTGAACTGCGAGTGGCTCAGGCTACACACATAAAGGTATACGGATAGCACCAGTTCTGGTTTTTTAACTCCATTTTTAGCATGAACAATATGGACGAATACACATAACAAAACGTTTTTGCGAGAACTGTCTTCCAACTTATAATTTAGGTCGTCATTAAACGAACGACAGTTGTGACAGCGTTGGGCGCCGTATTTTATCATAGACAATGCAAGCTATTATGAATCATTTCCACTAATAATGCCGCGAAAATAGGTTGCGCTTTGTCCAAATTTTCTACTCAGCGCCACATAGATTGCTGGTTCACTAGAAATGTCGCTGACTGAATGTGCGTAAGATATGGTGACTCGGTGAGTGATCTATCATTTACGTGCAGCAAATCTGTACGAGTAAACTGTGGGAAATAACTTACTTGAAGTGACCTGGTGGGAAATAACTCAGGAACATATCCAAAACCTCTTTGTTTCTACGATTCGAGGTCTAAAAATATTTATTTTCTGTTTGTATTTCATCATTTCTCCTAAATTAGTTTGTAATCTTTTATTTAAATTTTTAGGTTTTTTTATTTTTATTATATGGCATAAATTTGCGTCTAACATAACGGTTCTTGCAGATTGATCCAATTTTCATAATGTTGAATGTGTGTTTCTTCCATGTGCAGAGTTAAAAAAAGCAACAGAGCATAAGATTGTAAAAGTAGCGTTCTTTAATGCATATTCTCATATGCATTAATTATGCCTGGTCAAAACAGAACAAAGTCTTGCTGCTAGTGGACTCGCAAAGCATTAACTCTTTGCGGTACAGTGTGTCCGGTCTGGCTACATCTAAAAATTTCCTTCTGTACGCACAGGAAAATTGAATGAAGAAAGATTTGTAGCTTATTATAGGTTACTCTGAACGTTCTTTATTTATAGTAGATGGCAGCTCAACACAAAACAGTCCATATATTTTAGCCATGTTTAGTTTTTTAAGACCCTCATTTTTCAAAGAAATCTTCCAGATATTTTGTAGGGTATAAAAGGAATTGTTTGAAAAGAAATTCCTATGTTATTTTTTGGCTGTATGCTAATCTTCTTATTCTATATTAGTTTTAAATATTTGCCTTGAAATCTTGCCTAAAATCAAACGGCGAACCTAGGTGTGCCCAGAACGGGCTCACCGATAATTTAGGACAACTGAGAGTATGTAGTCGTTGTTTCTCCGCATCATTTCGGTCAGTTCATTGACAACAATGCTCGTTTCAACACTCTTTTCGAAGCTCTATTCAATCAGTGTACGCGCATGGGCACACCCACAGAATTAAAACGGTAAGTGCTATCTTCACAAAATTTTACTTGTGTACTCCTCTAGGCCTAATTGGACTGCCCAACTTTTTTTTTAAATTAAAACTCCGACTTTAAAAGGTAGTGTGTCGAAAAGGGTTAAGGTAAGTCCAGTGGCGCCGATCAAGTTTAATCTGTGCATTCTCTACCCATATGAGTAACATTAAAACATTAATTCATTTAAGTACTGTAAGGATTTAATAATTCTTATTAATGTTTTCTAATGTTAGAGTTGTCTTCGAGAATTCTTTTCTTCTGTTCGTAAGTTTTTCTTAAAACCTCTTTGATTATTTTACTTTTAAACTTGAACATTGATTTTATATCTACTTTAAGGAATTTTGTTTCACATGTTTACCGAATATATTTAAAAATTTAAGTAACTTAGCATAGCACTAGTGATTTTGATGCAACTAACAATGTATTTGTATAAAATGCTTCTTTTCTTTTCCTTTAGGCGCTAAACATGGTTAAATATATTCATCAAGCATTCTTAGATATTCTCGAAAATGTAGACTGGATGGAGAAAGAAACAAAACGACAAGCCATAGAAAAGGTTTTGCTATGCTTCCTTTCCTCTTTACATTATTTAAAACCATCATTTTCCAAAAATTATATAGACCTATGATATTAAACAATACATAATTTCAGAGTAAAGTTAACCGTTTTCTAATACGTTCATAAACACAATCGTAAATTAAAGTAATTCATTAATGACACTAAATTCGCTGACATTAATTAGTTTATGTGAATATGAACTTGTGTTTTTTCTCGAATTTTTTACAAGTTTACAAATCTCATTTGAACCTTTATGTCTTCTACGCCCCTTTACGTATTCTTCTGGAACATATCACTTGCAATGCTCATAATGTGTATTACGAACAATGCAATCCTCAAAACGAATAACTAAGCAAATTAGATTGTTTTACATAGAATTTCAGATCATATTGTGAATAAAAGTTCATATTCACATAAACTAATTAATTTCAACGAATTTGATTTAATTCTTTAATGACATTAAATTCACTCGAAATGTGAGTTCAAATAGCATGATAAGCAGTTAATCCACGCTATGAACACGTATATACAAAACGTAAACACATACTTACATACACATACAAAGTAAATAAAAGTGTAAAATATTTTGAGTTCCTCTAGCAGCATTTGCAAATTATGTATACCTATTGTATGTACTTTTCCTGTAACGAGAAATTTCCTGTAATGTATCAAGGAGATTCTAACCACTATGAATTTCTTTCGCACTCGTGAATGAACGGATCTGAACATTCAAAAGCTCATTTTCCTTAAGTATTCCAACTCTCATATTTGAAGAAACAGTTCTAAGCTATAATTTGAAGAACTTTATTTAATTTTAAAGTATACACACAAAATATATTTAGAAGATAACGGTTAATGCAGTCAAATGTTGCATACAGGAAACTATTTGTAGCTAAGAAGAATATTGTGAATAAATAACATTATTATTTCGGCACAAATACAATGCAAATAAGAAACTACATTTTAATAAGAAATTTGTTCTTTGCAACTTGGCTAACTTCTGCTTCAACTGAAGTAGTATGCCGACATTTCGAAACTTCAGTAAATTCAGTATCTGCCTTGTATATATCTTTGGCAAAGAAAATATTTTAACTTTCTGTAAAGTTTCGTAAATCTTGGTGCAGTTCGACATTATCTATTGTCCATTTTTTTCTTGAAAATATATTAATTTTTTGTAAGCTTTCGTAAATCTCTGTCGAATTCGACATTACTTCTTATTCATTTTTATCTTCCTTTTCTTCCTCCACACTTCTTGGAACCCCAAACTGAAAATTAAACGTGGAGCCGCGGAAAACGAAGAGGGTTAAACGAATAAAAACTAACAAAATTACACAAATTATACCATTTTGGGGGGGAAAAAAGTAACTAAAATAAAGAAAAAAATAAACAAAAAAAAATGAAACATATCACAAATTAAATAATATAAAAATCCTAAAATTAAGAGGACATAGCACTTTGACCTTCGTACGGACACTTCAGTTTAACACTTGATGTAATTTTAAATTAAGGAGCTGGATAGGCCTAGCAGTGTTTATTTCCTTGTCCGAAGTAAAGAAAGTATTTTATCCCAAAAATTTCGGATATCATATTTCAACGAAAATATTCACTTTAGCGCTCTCGTATCTATTTGAAAGATATTTTGCGTGACATCTGTACATATGAACAGAATAAAATATTCTTTTTCCCATAACAAGTGTAAAATGGATTTAAAATAGATTCAGAAAATATTTTTTCGTGATGCCTGTACGTATGTATGTATGTATCTCGCATAAACAAAGAACGTGTAGCCTCAGAACATTGAAATTTTGTATATAGGACGGATATAACATGTAGTTGTGCCCCTCCCTTTTTGGAAGCAACCAGCACCACTCTGTTACCCGGCTGGATGAACCGGTATTTTTGTTCTTATATGTTGGTAAATTGTGTATTTTTTTGCCTTAAAATAATTGAAATGTATTCTCATGTTTTGCTTAAGGTTTTTACGCCTTTAGTTAATGTTTCAGTTTTGTGCACGAAAATGTTTGTCTTCTTGCATGCTGGCCGAATTGCTTGTTTTTGCATATAAATTCTAAATTTAATTTTATAATTTTTAAATTGTTTTTAATTGTATTTATGTTTTATGTTTTTACAACTTTTAATGAAGTTCTTTTGAGATTTCGAGGATTTTTGGCTTGCGAAGTGAGAACTAAATTAATTGAATGAGAAATATGTCTCTAATGAAATTACAGGAAATAAGTTTAAATGAAATAAGGCAAAACATGTATATAATTTAATAGGCCATATATGGGAGTCATGGTCCAGATCAAATTTTTTAATTGTCCCTCAGAAATGAACAAAATCGTATATTTCAAATGAGTTATTCAAAGTGACAAAGAAAGATGTTAGAAAAGTTCTGTATCATATCATCATACATTAATCTCATGTAACGACTTATATAATAAAAAAATACTTTTTTAAGACGTAGTTATGTATTTGTATTTCTGAATTACTTACGCAGGAGAGCTTATAGTTTTTACGATGTCTGCAAACTAAAAGAAAAAAATCTGATGTGTACACCACATGACTTCCTTCTACGGAATATTAAATTATACGCATTTTTTCTTGCATTTCATTTAAACTTATTGGATTGAATTAAATCTACTTCGCCGACAGCGCATAAACCACAATAGAATAAATGCATTCTTTAAAATTCACTCTATTTGTTTACCATAGCGACACTCTGGCGCTAGGTTCACTTAACAGTATTATATTTCGTTCATATTATAACTCAGAATGCACAAAATTTATATCATTTAAAGAATTATCTAATCGTTGCCACATGTTCTATTCAAATACTATAATAAAGCTAGAACGATGTATAAAAGAAATTAAGCAAAAAAAAAAAAAAAAAAAAAAAAAAAAAAAAGAAAAAAGAAACAGTTTTTCACAGACGATTGAGTATTTCTCATTCAATTAATTCAGTTCTCACTTCGCGACAAGGCAAAAATACATAAAAACTCAAAATATCTGTATTAAAAATTACGAAGTAAATCTTAAACACTTATTTCCTCGAAAAAATTCCAGAAAGGATTAAGCATGATTTAATTCGCAATAATAAATGAAGGCGTTATCTTTGTTGTTGCGAAGCTAAGTTTCTCTAGATTGGCAACAAATCCACTATCCTGCTGTTTCAAATGTAAACAAGCAATGGCCGCCATAAAAAAAAAAAATTAGGCTTAGCGGCACTTAAACAACTTTAAAATTGTTGATAATTCTAAAATTATTGCATACAGATTTACTAAAGGCATAAAAACCTTAACCGGAAGATAAGAACAACATAATTCAATCATTTTTAAAGCAAAAAATGTACAATTTACAAACATATAAGAGTAAAGAAACTGAGATCACTGAGCCGGGTAACAGAGTGGATATATATATAAATATATTTATATACGTTTGGTGCGGCCGATTGCAACCAAAATACGAGGTGCACATCTACATGTTATAGCAGTCCTATATACAAAATTTCAACGTTCTGAGGCTACTCGTTTTTGAGTTATGCGAGATACGTACATACGTACAGACGCCACGAAAAATTCTCTTCAGAATTCATTTTAAAGCAATTTTATAATCTTTTTGGAGGAAAAGAGTATTTATTTTATTCTGTCCTTACGTACAAATATCACACAGAAACATCGTTAAATTGCATTCGATAGCGGTCAAAATGGTTATGTTCGTTGAAATATGCTGCCTGAAACTTTTCGCGTTTACAATACTTCCTTTTTACTTCGTACAAGGAAGTAAAAACATAGCGGTTGTAGCGAGTGATCGAATCATCTCATAAATCTCGTAAAGGAGAAAATTAGTTTGAGATGATTGAAAAAATAACATTTATAAATGCCGCTAATAACATTTATGAAGAAATGAAAACCGTATGCAAAAGGTAGCAGCATTCGGATATTGTAAGATTTATAACCTAAGGAAAAATAATTTAAATAACAAATACGTACTGCATTTCAAATTTTTGCTTTCGAACGACTTTTGCAGGACATGCTATAATACGAATAAAATTTTGAACGATAAATGAGCTTAAACGTTAGTGCGGAGAGAGAAGATTATGGAAGTAAATAACGTTTTTCCAGAAAACTTTATTCAGAGCCAAATTGGGGAATCATAGTAACAGGGAAATTATCATTGCTGAAACAAAGCAATGAGCTTCTATTGCATTTAAATTTATAGCAGCTAGAATAAATTTTAACATGGAAATATTTATTTTTTGGTAGGCCCTTACTATGAAGCCATATATTGGATATCCTCAAGAGCTTCTGAATGATTCATTTATATCCGGTTTATACGCAAATGTAAGTATCAACATATTTATTGACGGATTTTGCAAAAGAATTAGTTATAAGATTCAAAGTATTTTCCTCTTAAAACTTATAAAGCGTAATTTAATTATTTTCACAGTTGAAACTCAATGGAGAAAGTTATTATGAAAACGAAAGGAAAATAAGAAAGTGGGAAAATGATTTAGAATTCTCTGAACTTCGGAAACCTGTCATAAAAGGAGAGTATGTAACATTCAAATTCTGATAAGCTCATTTTTGTATTCCCTTTTCTATCTGCTTAACTAACTTTTACACAAAAGTAATATTATAACTTGGGAGAAATTTACAAAATATAAAGAGATTTTTCGAAAATTAGAAAAGTAAAATCTCGTAAACTTTTACTAAATTTGTCTGTCATAAATATAAGTGTCCGATTCAACAAAGTTCAACTGACTACATCAATCATGTTGGAAATAAATTAAATCAATTTAATATTGTTGCGTGCGTACGGGTTCGTTATGAAATGAATGCACAAGTCCGATGAAAAATGAACAAAAATTTATTATTATCACAACAAAAATGCTTAAATTTTCTCAAATTATCATGCAGTATTACAATATCTCACAGTAGTTTTCTTTTAACTACTCAAATGTCCAATAGAACGTAATTCAAAACAGCTAAAGAACGCTAATCCGCGAATTCGCTACAATCAACAACAGTAGTTTTCTAAACAACAACAAACTAAGCAACTACTACAAACTGAGATGTTTTCCTCCTTTTCCTCCTTTTATAAGCTTTTAAAATCACGCGCTAGAATTTTCCAGTACTTTCTCGAAATCAAAAAGAGATATTTATTTATTTAACGCACGCGCTCTTTGTATTTTTAATTTTTCCGGCTTAGCTTTCTTTTAATATTCGTCACGCGCTGCACTGCGCGAGAAATAAAACCATTTAATTTATAATTGAACTAACATTAGCTTTTTAAATACCAAATTCGTAACACTGCCCCCTTCCCAAGGACTGCACGTCCCGGGCAGTACAATCCCTGGACAGGAAGCTAAACTTACAACTGTGGCATAAATGCATTAATAAGCATTACATTACAATAATAAACAACATGAACAATAAATGCAATAACTAAAACAAATCAAATGCTATCAAATACTAAATCAAAACAAATACTAAATACAAATCAAATACTAAATACACATTTATAAACAAAAAGGACCATGGTCTGATACTATTTACAATTATTTACATTACGTACTATGGCCATAGTAATGAGCTAACCTGTCGTAAGAGTTCGAAGACTCACGGATCCGAACCATGACGTCATTTAGCCTGTTTAGGATTGTGTGCGAACCATCCCAAGGTGACTGTAAATTCAGGCCTGACTCCTTTTCGTCGAATCGGGTTCCACAACCACACCTTGTCTCCTTCGTTGGATCTATGTCCAGCAGCTCTCGTGTGTTGTATCTGGTCTTCACTTTCTCCGTCGCCAAGTTCACTCGCTTTCGTGCGGAACGGTGCATCACTTCAAAACGGGCCTTGACATCTTGGATGTGTTCCTCAGGCGATGAAGGCGCATCCGTACGGCGATGAAACAGGCGGTCACAAGGCAGACGAAGGTCTCGACCGAAGAGCATCTGAGATGGAGAATAGCTGGTAGTCTGGTGTTTCTTTTCGACCCTAGCATGATTTCGACTGTTTCTCTCGAGCTGGTTCTTTCGGACAAAGCGTCGGCATTTCCAGGTGAGGATCCCTTCTTAGGATGGATAGTCATGTCTTCAGATCCTGAAAGCAGTTTGTTGTTTTTCAAGTCTAAGGAAAAATTGTATTTCCTTAAAAAGTCCAATCCGAGTATGCATGGATCTGTAATATCCGCCACATATGCCGTGTGATGGTAGGCGGCACTTCCAAACGTGATGTTTACGTTTAACTTCCCAGTTATGTCGATCTTGTCACCAGACGCAGTCTGAAGGGTAACACAGGATGGCGTCCAAATAAGTTTATCTTTAAACTGTTCAGCTAAATCTTTCCTAATGATGGTAACATTAGCTCCTGTGTCAATGATCATACTGCAAGGAACTCCATCGATATTCCCATTGATGGACAGTCCGTTATTGTTGCCACTCACTGTATAAATTTTAAGAGCTTTAAAACAAGGTTTTTCACTATCTGGCAACCTCCGTTCCTCGATATGGTCACTAATTTGTTTACTGCGTTGTTGCTGGGAAATGGTCTTATTTTCCGTACCTCGGGGTGTTCTGCACTTTCTTCGTATGTGGCCTTCAACTCCGCAGTTCCAGCACTTTAGAATTAGTTTCTTTTCACTTCTGTTCCGTCTCAAGCCACTGACTTGTCTGGTAAAATCATCTGCTTTATATTCCGTACCCTGGGGTGCTCTGCAATTCCGTCTTAGGTGACCTTCACTACCACATCTCCAACACCTTAGAGCCACTTTCTTCTCCCTCCTACTCCGTATCAAAGCGTCGACTTGTCTGGCTAAATCATCTAAACGAGCCATCAGTTGATCCACTGGCTCATGGACTCGCACAGCTCTAACTGGGTAGCGATCTCTACTAGTTGCTTGCTGGGCTGCCTCGAACTTCATGGCGTACAACAGAGCGCTTTTCACGACCTTTACATCCGCCATTCGAAGAGCTTTCTGTATTTCAGGATCTCGGATGCCGTCGATGAAATATTGCAGCGACAGGATTTCTCTTGTTTCTGTCGGGCACTCCGAAAAGGCGAGGTGGGACAGCCTTTCAACATCCGTGGCGAGCTCCTGAAGTGTTTCGGTAGGCTTCTGTTGACGAGATTTTAATTGGAGCCTGCTGTAGTCTTTTAAAACACTTCTCCCCAAAGCGCAACTCCAAGGCGCCGGACAGAGCTTCGAAATCTAACCTTTTGTTTTCGGGAAGAGTCTGCAAGGATCCGGCGTCTTAGAGAAGCGGCGAGATGACAGGCCTTAGCTTGGGAATCCCATCCATTCGCATCCGCCACGATAGAAAATTGTGTCTTATACACCTGCCAGGAGGTCTTCCCATCATATGTGGATAGCTTCAGAGGTGGACGAGCAGGCATTGGTAAGAATTTAAAATCATCACTCCTGCTCCCTGCCGACGCTACGAATTTCTTTAAAGTATCCATTTCTTTGGCAACTGCAGAAAAACTCTCTTCATCAATTTGTTCTTTTACAGAAGAAACTCTTTCTTCTATTCTTCTTTCACCGAAGAAACTCTTTTCTTCAATATGTCCAACTTTATTTTCAACTGCGTCAATTCTGCCTTCCATAGCTTCAAATTTATTTTCTATTATGCAAGTAATTTCTCTTTCATTTCATTCTTCTTGACCAGCTTGAACGGCTTTCATTTCGTCCTTAACGGATTCCTGGCCCAATTTCATTTCTTCCTTAACGGATTCCTGGCCCAATTTCATTTCTTCCTTAAATATGCTTGGCCAGCTTCCATCTTTTCTTGGAATGCAGCAAAGCACTAATGAGCTGTCTCAATTGTTCTTCCATCGCTCTTGTTATTGGCATTCAAATCCCACTTCTGACACCAAAAATTGTTGCGTGCGTATGGGTTCGTTATGAAATGAATGCACAAGTCCGATGAAAAATGAACAAAAATTTATTATTATCACAACAAAATGCTTAAATTTTCTCAAATTATCATGCAGTATTACAATATCTCACAGTAGTTTTCTTTTAACTACTCAAATGTCCAATAGAATGTAATTCAAAACAGCTAAAGAACGCTAATCCGCGAATTCGCTACAATCAACAACAGTAGTTTTCTAAACAACAACAAACTAAGCAACTACTACAAACTGAGATGTTTTCCTCCTTTTATAAGCTTTTAAAATCACGCGCTAGAATTTTCCAGTACTTTCTCGAAATCAAAAAGAGATATTTATTTATTTAACGCACGCGCTCTTGTATTTTTAATTTTTCCGGCTTAGCTTTCTTTTAATATTCGTCACGCGCTGCACTGCGCGAGAAATAAAACCATTTAATTTATAATTGAACTAACATTAGCTTTTTAAATACCAAATTCGTAACAATATTTAGTTCATGGAATCTCGTTTATTCTAATTTTTCGAAACGGCAACAGAGAGCGTGTTCGTTTACAGACAAAATGGTGTCATGCATTGGAGAAGCAACGTGCACTCTCTGGTTATAAGTCCTCGAAACAGTTTGGTAGCGATTCCGGTATAAATTTAGTAAATCTCTAGCAAAGGAAAATTCAATTAAAATGCGGTTAAATCAGTTTCGAGAGAAGGTTTTATTTTGCATAAAGAAACTACAGATTAGGCCGAGCGTCAGTAATGAAAATGTTTTCGCCAATCGCGATGTGTTTGTAATGATGATCAATTTCTTCGGAGAATACTATACAGCGATGAAGCAACATTTCATGTCCGAGGAGAGTTTAATAGATATAAATGCAGGATTTTGGCATTAGAAAACTCGCATTCTTTTCTCGAAGTTATTAATTAATGTGGATGATTACTTCGATATGCTGAGATTGTTTCCGTACCACAGTTCGAAAAAATGTAGCCAAAGATTTATTTTCTACAAGACAGAACTTCCTGTCATTGCGCTACGTAAGTATGTTTTCCTTGTAAAATATTCCTAAATCGTTGGATTAATACAGGTCGACCAATTTTATAGCCACCTCGTTCTCCGAACGTCACAGTCAACATATTTTCTCTGGAGATAGCCACCTAGTTCTTGAACGTCACAGTCAACTTCTTTTCTCTGGGGATAGCCACCTCGTTCTCCGAACGTCACAGTCAACATCTTTTCTCTGGGGATAGCCACCTCGTTCTCCGAACGTCACAGGCAACTTCTTTTCTCTGGGGATATCTAAATAGAGTTTATGCTGCACAGATTCGCACCAAAGAATTGAAAAATCGATAAGAGACTTTGTATTCTCCGAAAAGCTAGTTGAAGTTTCTTAATATAACATTTTTTGAATGGTAAAATAAAATTCACTCAGTCATTTATACGTATCTCTTATTATATATTATTTAAAACATATCTTTATCAGATGAATAAATTATGGACACCTTGTATATTTACATTTACCTGTGCAGTGTTTTATTACATGAATTATTATATCAGATTTTCGTCTTTAAAATATGAAATTATTAAATGAAAACAATAGGGAAATAATCTTAATGCATAAGCAGCAAGCATACAATAAAATTTTAGATTATGAAATAATACATGTGCAATAAGTCTTCATTTAGTATGAACTCATAAGATAGTAAGAACACGAAATACGTATGCTGAACATGCCGAAAACGTTCCCTGAAATGTAAGAAGAATTCGCATTCCAGAAAATTCCATCGATAAAGATAAAACCCATTCATACTTTAGGTTTGGGGAAAAAATAGTGGTGATGATAGTTTTTACATGTTTGTCAATGCTATAGAAATATTGTTTCCGCAGAGGCATAAGAAGTTCGGTACATGATTGAAATGCAGTGAACATCTGTTAATATCTCATCTGCTTTCAAATTCATATCAGGAACGTAGGTTACCAATATCTATAACCGTCCATTTCAATTCTAAAAAGGGTATATCGTAGCTGGTAGAGAAGATTTTTAAATGCAATAACGTGTGCCTAGGATCTACACTACTTCTATCTTACAAGAATTTGCAAATATTTCAAACTTCTTGCATGTCCTATTGAATTTTAGGAACTTTATCAAAAATTGACATTCAGTTCTGTCTTCGCATTCAGTCGCTTTCGTAAATATGGAAATCATCTTTGATTTTCTTTCGGTTAGCAAAAGCAGATACTAGAGGTTGCTTTAGAATAAGCATTTCAGGAGCCCACTTCCCTTGCAATCGAATCTGGCTCACCTGGTTGCAACAATGTACCAGTCTTCAGTACATTTTTTATGTGCACATCCGTTATGTTCATTATGTTTGAAAAGAAGAGATATTTCAACTATCTCTCAAAATGATATTTACACAGTCAGTTGCTTAAATTTGGTGCGGGGAAGCTCCGAATAGATTTTTCCTTGGAAACCTTTTTACAATCGGGGCAGCTCTAGTTCTCTGATATGTCTCCTTTCATCCAGAATTATTGCATTGATCAAATTTTCAGAATGAGCTGCTGGGAAAAGAAAGAATGAATTTTGCTGAATTACTGAGTTGATGACTTACAGTAATTTTAGAGTTAGCGTGGTGTTCTGTTGGTTTCTAAACCTATCTTCGTATCATAACTCGGTTTGCTGTCATCTTGAATGCTAAACAGATGAGGATTATGCTTTGCTAAGGTTTCTAAAATTATACCTGACTTTTTGACAGCAGAAATATCAATTAAGTAAAATTCAGCCTTGCCCACCACATTTCTTTTGAACTTACGAAGGAGGAATGTAATAGGTTTAAAACGAACTAGTAGAACTTTGTTACATCCAGGGATTTTTTTCCCGATATGTCCTCTAAAGGATTTGGGCCCTGTGGTATCACCATCCAAGGGATAACGTAACTTCGATTCGTGCACATTTAGGAGATGTAAAACGCAATGATTTTCCAATGTGCCGTTCGATCAGGTGGCTAATATCATTTTTCAAACCAACTCTAGCTACAGTTCCACCGCTTCCTATCATTACAAGTTCTTCAAACGGATTCTCATATATATTCGAATGCAGAATTGTGTTAGAAGCTATATATTTAGCAAGTTATTATATTTAGCAAAAAATATAATAACTTACTTATAAGTTAAGTTATATATTTAGCAAAAATATGGGCCATCAGAAAATATGGCCCATTTTTTTTATTCTCTTTCTTATGTAAGGGTCCTCTTTTTCAGGTCTACGGAAAAAGCTTTCAATCATTTTTATAATTGCCATTGTGTCGTCTTTCCTTTCATCAACGTACAGACCACGTAGTACATTTGCAGAATCAATCTATTAAATGTTTCCTTAATCAAATCATGTACCTTATTACGAGTTTCTTCTTTTCCTATTTTGTTTCTATAAACGATATGTGAATTGTCTGAATTAGTTATCACATACTAGTTACATAATATTTACAATTTACTAGTTACGTAATGTTTTACAATATACACAGTATTTATAATTACAGAATTTAGTATCTTAATATTTGATAATTATAGTAACCGTTTAAAAAGGTCTATAGCAAAAATTAAGAAATATTGCAAAATTTCCAAAAAAAAAAAATATGATTTTGAGCTTAATGAGCAAAAAATAAATAATTTAAAGTTATATATTTTAAATGTTTCTCGGGTTCCTGATGGCCCAAATTTCACATTAGGATCTATAGCGTTTCAATAATATTGTGTTTAGTAATTGTGAAAAATTGAAGATAAATATTAAAATTTCGCCTTCTTTCAAACTATTGAGTGCGGTTTGTCAAAGGAAGATATAATTTTGTGTGAAAAGTTTTGTCATTTTGCTTAATGAATCAGTACGCAACTTTCCTGGGTATAGTGCCAGAAAAATTAAAAAAAGTGTTTCTTTGACCTATACTATAGCCTATTCTAAATTAAATTTAACGCAAGAATAATTGGAAGAAAAATATAATTACAAGAAAAAGAAACAAATTCAGTGACATTATTTGTCTCTATTATTATTCGCTAGTGAATTTTTCTTTTAAATAAGGATATTTCATCAATAAATTTTAAATAAAATTGCTTATGAGCGAAACATTTTAAATCACAGAAATTTTATCTGATGTTAATATATATTTGTTTCAGCTGGAGGAAACACGCGGGTGCTGCTGTTGTAAATGCCTTTTATAGCCCATTGGAGAATATTATTGGTAAAATTACTTTTATTTTTAGTTGCTATAAACTGAAAATTTTCTCAAACTTACGAATTTATATTTATCTTGGGTTGCATGGAAAATAATTCAGTTTTTTCCTAGGAAATTCTCTCTTATAATAAATGAATATTTGAGTGAATTACACATCTACTCCTTTTGATTTAATATATTTTGCCATTCTCTACGAATAGCATCAATCCGAGCTCACAAGCGTATCATTTATAGAAAAAATTTATCAGCGGCCGAGCGGTAAAGTCGCTGAACACTGGTAGTTCGGTCTGAGGTTCGATTCGCGCGATTGGGCTGGCTGCATGAGCGTTTTTGTGGTTTTCCCCATGTGTAATGTGTATACGAGTCAGTTTCCCTTAGAAAGTCCTCCAAGAAGGCATCCCTTTCCTTAGGCAACTTTCAAATCAGTTGTGGAATTGTCTAATAGAACTGAAAATATATTCCGTTAAAATCCTATGAAATAGCAAAAATAACTTTTTTTCTTCTTTTCTTAAAGACTATCTACTTTCGAAGTACCATTTATCTCTTCTACTTTATAATTACACCCGCGTTCCAAATTGTTATAAAGAATCAACTTCTCATCGCATACTATGATTCGCTTAAGAAATATATCTTTTGAGAAGTGAATCACATATGTCAATGCGACGGAGCAATTTTCTTTCTTTAAACAACTGTGGAACCCATATATATCAGAGACTGAAATTAAACTAAGTCGCCTCAGTTATCACAAACGTTTAAATTCGACAGGTTTAATCTTTTAGCAGCTTTGGTGTTGTTATTCGGTAGTTTGTTTCAATCAGTACCTTTATTTCAGCTTCATCAATTTCAACTATCCTTCCAAAAACGTGGTGTATCTTCAATGTCGAACTTGAAGGCACGAAAATTTTCACTGCCGTTCTATCAGCACACTTTCTCGATATACGACACTCAATTTTCAACATGCTATAAATGCTACTTTTGATTTTCTATGCTTGATAAAATGTCAAAAGGAAAAACATTGCACAAAATCAAGCAAAATGTTTTATAAACAAGCTTTGAATTATTAACTGTCAAAATATATAATGACAATGCAATTAAGAGTTTAAAATTAGTTTGTTCTTTTAAAATGTAGCTAATCCTTCTAGTAGAGTAAAATATTACTTACTGAACAAATCAATATACGCAGAAAACAAGCAACTGCCTTGAATGAAGTCAAATAATATTTTTGTATGAAACTTCAACACTTTTCAATTAACAAGTTTTTTTCTTTTTTTTTTCTTTTAAGATTTTCCTGCTGGTATTTTACAGCATCCCTTATTCAACAAAGATCGACCAAAGTAAGTTTAAATATTGCTCAAATATGTGTTTAAACGTACTATAATTGAAACAAAATTCTTTTAATTCAGTTGGCACAAAACATATCTAAAATGCTTACAAAATAAGTTTTTTATTGGTATTTTTCTTTCAGCTACTTGAATTTTGGAGCCATAGGTTACGTGATTGGTCATGAAATTACTCATGGATTCGATGATACAGGTGAAGTATTTATTTGCATTAAACTAATGCATAAGTAGCAAAAAACGAATAGACATGGCAAAAGAAATGACATATAAACCCTTTCCAAAATTTGAATAAGCAAAAACTTATCGGAAACTTGAATAAAAATGTATAAACAGGAATGCAATTATTAAATGTATTCGAGTTGTTTTCGAGTAAACTAACCAAATTCACAGCCACAGTGTATTATCGTATTTGCTCGCCGTATTTCTCCCTTTATTATTAATTTTATATTGCGAAATTCAAAAGAGAAAATTTAAGTGAGTAATTTAATTTTGAAGGACACATCTACAGTAAGAATTGTATAATACCAAATGAATTGTACAATACCAAATGAAAAGTATTTAAGTATAAGCTACTGCCAGCTATAACAATAGTATTTGTTTAAAAGGAAACCGACATTCCGATAAGAATACGCAGTAATAATACCATTGCCAATATCTTACGAAATAGCTTCATTTCTGATTTCCTGCGTCTTGAATCTCGCTCTTTATTACTCACACTGCTACTTTCTAGAACTCAATCCATTTAATGCTTCTGAAACTGTTGTATGTGCCCTTCTGCTGCACCCTGCAAATAATCGTGGGTCACTGTTATCGTCTTCGTTACCTTTCAGTCTTTGTTTCATCTTGCAATGATCTTCAGAGCTACCAAAATTATTAGATATCCTCATTTCCTTGAAGCTCTTCACTATTATGACATCATCATTCAAAGCGAATGACCCCAAAATCCAAGAGCACAAAAAAAAAAAAAAAAAAAAAAAAAAAAAATTCGAGCAAAATTATTTTGCAGTTTGTTTTGCGATGTCTCATGTTCTGTAATAAAAAAAATATTTTAATTTCTAACTTTCTTTTAATGATTCCGTTTTTGAATGATTCCTTAATTTCTATCAATTCAGTTTGGTAACCTTTACAAGGAGAAAGAGAGTTAGACCTTTAAATTTTTGGAGCATAATTTTTATTTAATTTTCGTTCCGGCATTTATTTTTGATTTATTACATATATATATATATATGTCAGGATCTATCTATCTGTCTCACGGAATAAAACAAAAACTATTTAGCAGATATGCGTGAAATTGATCCAAGAGGCTAGTCTGTCATTTTTAGACTACATAGCAAGCAACAAAGCAAGGGCATACAAAACAGATGTATTACAACCAATCATATAGCGAAAGACCAAACGGGTCGGAAAAATGTGCAATGGAAACATCACGCTAATAACAGGAATGCTCAAATGCAAGCTTGACAACGGCGAGGCAAGCTAGCAATCATGTCGTTAATCACTTGCTGTCGTAGCATGACCCCTGCCTGTAGTAATGCCTGTCGAAACTCGCGAAGGGTGCCTCGTGGCACACTGTGACTTGTTATCTATAGTCCCAACATGTCCCACATGCGCTCTGGATTCAGGCCGGGGATTTAGCAAACCATGGTCTTCACTCGAGTTCTATGCGAGCGGGCATTATTATCTATAAATATCGCGTCTGTGTCATAGTTTCGGTACCCAATCCCATGAAAGAACGCATACAAAGGTGCAGAAAGTTGTGATGTTACTGCGGGTTTGCGTTTTATGCTAATTTTGGTTGCTTATTTGGATTCAGTTATGCAGCCTCTACCTCATATGCGTTTTAATTTCCCCTTTTTAAATTTGTACCTTTACTTTTAGTATTTATTGCTAATTTTTTAAGCACGATTGGCATACACCAGGACCATATGACATATATCAGGATGTATGGGTTATATATCAGGGCAAACTGTAAGCAAGAGTAAACATATTACTAGCATTCTAAGAAATAAGAATTATCAGAATACATCAGCCCCTTGGAATACATCAGCCCCTTGGAATACATCAGCTTCTTTTTTACTTGCTTTCTTCTGAAGTTATAGAATAATTAGGTTTATTTCAAAGTTAAAACATGAAAATTCCGCAAAGCCCTCATCGGCATTTGAGTTCCGAACCCCCTTCCCGTTTGTTAGCCGGTCTTGCTTCCAAATACACCTCAAAGACGAGCGCTAAGGTGGGAGAAAATTCCTTACGAATTTACCTCACAAGCGTTCAGAAACTTGAGCAATATTTGTCCTACATTTATGCTCCTGGAAATGTATCCCAAGCAAGATTTCTTTCAAATGCTTTTATTCTAATAATTTACACGAGCACCTTTCGAAAGAAATTATAATTGTGATTCAGAAAATTGATATCATATTTATTATTGTTAATTAAGTAAAAAATTTAATGGTTTGTCGTCAATCATGTACCACACTGGTAACATTACAGGTCGGCAGTTTGATAAAAATGGTAACAACGTGAACTGGTGGGACCAGACAACAGATGAGCTATTCAAAAAGAAAGCGCAGTGTATTATAGAACAGTACGGTAATTACACTGCTGAAAATGGTATGAAGGTAAGATAAATCTGAAGTTTTTCCTTTATTACGAATCTACCTGAGGTAGATTATTTATAACTATAACCGTTAATTATAAATATAACTTTATTAAATGCAACTGCTGAACATTAACAGATGTTTGAAAGCCGGTATATGTTTAACTTAGTTTTATTTCCGTGAATTTGTCATGTCTGAGAATGAAACTGGCAGGTAATTGCAATAAATAAGTAAGGCAAACTGAATCATTTTGTTTTGTGCGTTTTTAGCTAAAACTGCATGGACCATCAGTCGGCTTCCTAGGATTCATTTAGTTCTGACAGATGACGCTTGATTTGCGGCAGAATATGAAGTAGCAATAAGTCTCGGAAGACACTGAATTTTTTTTAAGAAAAATTTAATTTTTCTCCTTAGACAGTTCCATCAACAATGAGAACTCGTAGTGGAGATTCATTAAAATTTGATTGTCCATTATCGGATAACATCAGTATAGTTTCTCAAGCTTTTTAATTATGTTCTTCGATCCTTCGTTCTCTAATCAATGGTCTTCTACTACATGTAATAATAACTGAGCTGAAAACAAATGGCAGAGCTACTGCTGCTACCGTTTATATGTAATAATTTATTATCAGAATTGTTTATCTGAGAATGCCAAAATCCGCTTACTGGCACCTCGCTTCTTTTTAATGGCAAATATTTCTGTAAAATTTTTCTTTGTAGAGCGTCAATGGCAGGCATTAATAGCAACTTAAAAATGTACCATAATATTTAATATATCTTCAATTTTATACTATTATCATTGGAATTATTGGAAATTCATAGAAACGCTAATCTTTAAAAGTTTACAGATTTTTGGATAACATTTAATAAAAACGTTTTGAATGTGCATATATACATATATAATGCTGTTGAATTTATACTGACATAATTATATCTTTCGCAGCTAAATGGCATTAACACACAAGGAGAAAATATAGCTGACAATGGAGGTCTGAAAGAAACTTATCTGGTAAGAAGTATTCTTTGTTCTTAAAAAGGCTATAGAATTTCGATTTAAATTTTAAATAGAAAACCGAAAAGCGCAGAATTAATTTTAGTAAGTATAAAAGGCTTTTTCTCCCTCGTTCCAGCATGATTTCGTGGTGTAACAGTAGCACACTCGCCACGTATTCGAGAGGTCCATGTTCGAGTCCCGGCGAGGGCAATGCACATTTTTCTCCTCTCCTGCTTAAAACAAATCTAATGAATCTACACGTAGTTAAATTAATATTCTAAATAGTTCGTTAAATAATTATAGAAAATATTAAAGATATAATTACTTATAGAAAGATGCTTTCCAGGAGGATCTTACGTAAGAAAACCACCACAAAGTTAACCTAACATTAACTACTTGGGGTAGTGGCAATAATAGAAATGATGGCAAAACTCAATCTTTCGAACGTTTTGCAATCGAATTACAACGATTATTTATTAATTTAATATTATAACATATTGCCATTTTTTTTAAATGATAATATTATATCTTAATTTTAAATAGTATAGAACTATCATGATGTTTAAAATTACTGTATTAATATTATGAATGGTATTTAAAATTTGCCCTTAAAATATTGCCACTATTACAATAAATACATTTTCATAAGCACATTTATGAATCTATGAATAAGAGGCATTGTAAATAGCGATTAAAAATTTTGCTTTTATTTTCTAAATATTTCAAAGAAATCCTGTAATTTACCTTTTGATAGCAGTGTCATTTCCTTGGAGTTTCGATGTCGAGTATATTTCCATATATGGAAGATGTTCTTTGATATTAGCGTTAAATACAGCCGAACAGCTTTCAGATGTTCTCTGATAGTTTGAGGGCAATACTGTAATGCTTTTAATATCAAATATATTTTACCAATATATGTGGAAGTAGATTCTTCGACTACTTTCATTTCCACTTCAACTCAGCAAGCTATGACGTAGCGCAGCTTGCAGAGTGGCAGACGACCGTTGGAAGTGCTGGAGACGAGACGCATCCACGCGCGGAGCGGATATCTTTGAGATGGAATAAGTAGGCAGACGGCCTGCAAATCCTCCAAGATGCTTGTCTATAGTTAACCGTACAAGAGAAGACGGGCCCTTTGAATGTATTTATTGAGGACTGTGTGTTAGTCATCGTTACATGAATCCTGTGGAACTTTTTTGGAATTACTTTCATCGTGAGATCGCCATCTGAATTATTAACTTTTACTTTTTATCTTTTATTTCCTATTAGTAAAATAAAATAGTTAATTATGCTTAACTTGTGCTCTACCATGTTCTTTTGAAAGTAAACCCTACATATATATTTTTATCCTTGAAACAACGACGAACTAAAGCAATGCTTTTGAGGCCCTTTGAAGTTGTGATAACGTAACTGAATTTGAAATATGTGGCGAAATTCATCTGGGAATGGAAGGGCACAAGTGTGAATTGCAGTATGCCTAACAAGGTAAAAAATGATGATCTGGACAATTTGGTAGTAAAAGCAGAAGAATGGAAAAATAGCAAGGCATGTTTGTAAAGCATAGTATGAGTTTGCAAGAAACGAAATGCATTCATTCCTTTATGCCATAATATTATTGCTTCACTAAGCTGCAAATTAGAAGATTCCTGTTTCGATTGCTGGTAAATGCAAATTTAGTTTTTTATATATTTCATTCCAAACAATTTAATTTTCTCTGCGAAAGCTCATGAACAAAATAAGATTAACGAGAACTCGCCAGCACTTTGACTTGGCCAACTGTATTGCCCTTCCTCTCCTCAGCATTTTTCAAACATGGAGTGGGCGGATAGGACACCAAAACATACCTCCCACGTCTAGTGCAGCGATTAACGCATCCAACTTGCATATTGAAGGATACCTGACTTGATTCTAATATTTATCTTTTTTTAGTTTCGGAAAAATTAAATAATATAATTTATATATTTGAGAAACCGAAACTTTAAGAAATCTTTTAATAGATAAGTGTTTGAAATTGGTAACATGGGTCTCAACTTAAAAACTGAACATTGAAAAGCTTACAATTACTTTGCTTTGTGCCACATAACACTGTTATCTGTAATTAATTTTCAGAAGATTTTTAAAAAAACTGAAAAGTAAGGAATTACATTTCTTAAATAATTAGTAAATTGTCTAATATTATTTTTTAATATTCAAAGAAATAATTTTGAACCTTATATCATTTATATAATATCATATGTTAAATGCCAGAGAGCATCAATTTTGTGAATTTTATTATTAATGACACATTTTTTTCAATAAGTAATGCAATTTCTCTTCATGATTGTGCAATATTATTATTCATTTAATAATTTACTAGAAATTCTACACTTGTGCCTTTTCTCATATTTAATTTACACGTAATAGAAAGGAGTTATAAGGCAACTATAAATTATTCATCGGATTATCACACACTTTACGTTCTAATTTGTTACGCATACACAAATAATTTATACATGAAAAGAAACGTAAAACGTTTAATATTTTGTCATACGCTGGAAATATTTTATGAGTACTTCACTGGTCACAAGATACATATCGAAAATGTAATCGAATTTTGTTCACACCTTCCCTAGCATGCCTCACCCCAGCTCTACTGATTTAAAGCTGTGTGACTTCTGGGAGTTGTTTAAATCTTATATTCATACATTCTTCCATTGCTGGTAGAGCTCAGAGAACGCATGAATGCTGCTGTCACCACTTGTATAAAAGTATAAAAGGATTTCGGCTCCTGACTGAATGTGTGTTCTGTAATCAATGGAGCACACGGGAATATCTGTGGTTCTTAATTCCTGATTTGAAATGATTTTCAAAAAAATTTGTATATGTTTAACATCTTTATGTCTGACATCTTCTTTTCAGAAGAAAATTTCTTCACATCAGGGCTATTAAAGGGTACCGGCTTGCAGTGAGCTTAAAATCAGTGCAAATAAGAGATTAATCACAGTTAATTTCATTTACATTTAATTTCATTTTTATGTGTTAATGGATTTAAAATAGCACACTTTAGAATGAAGTTTTGAGTGCACTTAAAATAATCAATGACTGAATGAAAGAAATTTATTTATATTTATCTTTCTGGGTGTTTTTTGAATATTCACTTAGCTTCAGAAAGCATTGTAGATGATTCCATTTTTATTATTTTTATACTTTCTGTTTGAGTCATCTTCAATATTGTATCTAAATTCGGTTTTCAGATATTAGAATTTTTTCATTTCAAGGATCTGCATCATTCTTTTGCTTCTTACTTTTACAGGCATATCAGCAATGGGTAAGAGACAATGGAAGAGAGCCAAGGCTACCGGGGCTGAAATATACGCAAAATCAATTATTATGGATCAGTGCAGCTAACGTATGTCTATCCAATTTATGCTAGTGTATATATAGTTATATCGTAGTGCATAAGTACTAAATGAATAATTTGTTGAACATGGTTCATTTCAAGAATTAACATGTTTAAAGATTTTTTTTTTTCTGCTAAAACAATAAATTTACCAAATCGTAGTCTATAATTACACTAAATATTAAATCTGAAATCTAAATAAACACTGCAAAATGTAAAAAAATTCATTTTTAGTTGGAAATGAATTTTATTACATGATAAGCGCACATGCCCATTGATCCAGACACCGAAGCTATTGACTTTTTAAAGTTAAATAATTGCTTCTTCCAGTATTATTAGTCAGCCTGTACTCTCCCCATTTAAACCCAAGCTGTTAATTATCATCTCTTGGAAAGATGATATATCTATTCCGACAATTCCGACTTCAGTAGAAATCACAGCAAAGATTAATAAAGCCAAGACTTTACTGGAATAAAAGTTAGTGAAACAAATCTTTGTCATTTTGAGGCATATGAGAGAAAGTGTAAAAATATACTTTCATTTTTTATAATTCAGGTGATAAAGCAAGAAATACTAACCGTATTACATGTAAATAATTATAACTGCTACTTTTATTTGGTTATACACAATGCCAAAATACTACTTTATTACAAAATGATGTTTTAGACTTCGAAGAAAGTGTGAAAAATTCGAATTTTATTGAAAAAAAAGACCATCTAATAAAATAATTCGCTAGATCCTTTCAAGTTTTGATGGTTGTTTTAGGTTATAATTTATATATTTCTACAAAAGGCTACACTACTTGTATTTCCAGAATACTTCGAAAGTTTTACATTCTCATAGAATGATCCAGTGCTAGAACACCGAATTTCAATTGTATGCTTCGTATTTACATTAAAGAGTACGAAAAAAGTATAAATTCATTCTAAGTGGATATAAAGTAGCAATGTATAAGGAATTTTGAAGCACTGCTATTTTAAGAACGCTTTATAGTCCTTAAACCGGAAGGGAAAATTTCTTTTGGAAAAAAATTATAAAGACTGTAAACTGATCGAAAATGAGCTCTTTATAAATTATAGAGCGTTTGTTTACTGTTTCATTTTCTTTGAATTTTTAAGATATGCTTGTCAATTTTTAATCACAATTCCAGTCTATATGCTTTTTATTATATGAAATATGGAAAGTCTTGAACTTGTGATTGGATACAAAAGTGCATTCATTCTACATTATCGTACAAGTGTTTTGTTTTGGTTTTCTAAACCCATGCCGGTGAAAAATATAGGGTAATTTAAAAAAAATGACATACTCTAGCGAGTAAATTATTGGACAAAACATAACAAAATTTAATGGTCACACATAGTGGACCATGGGATTTTGATTTCTTAAAAAGTTTCAAAAGTTGTCACAAAGGAAAATGTTTTCGGTCCAAAAATGCATTAGTGTAAATAATCAATGATTAAATGCCAAACGCACATATCAATTTTGTTAATTTTGCACATATGAATTCTTAACAAAAAATGATTGTTAGAAATAAGGTTTAATATGACCACCTTTTGTGACGTTCCATGAACTTTTGTGACGTTCCATTACTTTGCACGGCATTTTCCACGGCGGCTTGCAACGTATTAGAATTAATTTGCTCACCTGTAACGTTATTCAATTTTTCAAATTTGCGATATCGGGAACATGTCCTTGGTTTCAAATCGTTGAATCACGTTTCTTAAGTTTTTTATGCACTTCGGTCCTTTAGCAACTTCTTTAACCACCGGAATTCACGAAGGCAGCATTGGCATAATACAGCTTAAGGGGTGTTGGAACCCCAAAATCTTCAAAAAATTGTGATTTCGCATTTTTGCATTTCAATCACTTTACTTCTAAAAATACATTATTAATCTCTATAAAACTTGACTGTAAAAAATAGTTTAATTTGTCATCTGCTTGATCAATGGAATTTTACATTAAACGCGTTTTCCCAACGTGATTTTTTATACGATGTAACTTTTTCAGGAACTACTGCTCATAGGAGCAAACTTTTTATGGCTTATATAGGTCCCCAATTACTGAAATGAGATTTTTGTAATAAACTTGAAAAAATTGTTAATTTTTTGTGTGAGAAAAGTGCTAAATTTTACTATGCCTAACAAAATATTCTGTAATATACTCTAAAATTCAAAATGCTTCAAAGGCTCATTTCAGTATAATCAGATAGATATACTTTAATTACAGAAAAATGTTCAAGCTTGTACCTACAGTATATTTTGAGAAAAGGTACCAATGGCCAATCGAAAATTGCCAATTTAACATTGTCGATATAGGGGGTTTCTGATACCCCTTAACGAGGTCCCGTAAGGCCATCGAAAAGCAATTAGATTCAGAGTAATGAGAATTCTCCCAGCATTTTCCTTTTACATTGATGATCGCTACAAGGAAAGCGATTATACGAATTAATGTGTTTTATTCGGTAAACAGCACCAACATTTTTTTTAAGAAATCAAAATCACATGGTCCGTTATGTAAGTTCATAAAATCTGTTTTTTTCATTCAATACTTTACTCGCTAAAGTACTCTGAATACCTCACGTTATTTATAACCACCTTGTGCATTATTGACTTGATCTTGTTTTCAATCCACCCCATCAGTGATATTTGTGAAATGTATACTCGGATAACTGAGTGTCATAAGAAATGCGCATTTTTTATATCGAGAGAGCATTGGTTGGTTTAATAATTGGCTATAACTAGATAATAAGTTTATCTTAAGGATTCCTTGCATTTGTGTCCCCAAATCATCCACATTTTAAAGATTAAATTACCTCTTTTCTATCAGCTCATTTACAACACAGTTTTTTCCAAATCATTCAAACAAAATACTGATTTTAATTTTGAATTTCGAAACTTTGTGAAAAAAAAATTGTAGTATTATTTCTTAATCACTTACATTTTCTCTCAATAATGGTCAGACACTTATCATTTCCGAAATTGATGTCAAAAATTTAAATGCGTGAAAAAAATTATAAATTGGTTTTTTATATTACGTATATGTTTATACAGTGCTATTTGTACACAAATTTTATCCCAAAGACACGTGAGCTTATCATTATCCCAGTGAGCCTATCATCTAACAATTCCTTTTTTTAAGGATAGAAACTCGCGTCATAAAATTGGTGAAATATTTTATTTTATCAAATAAAAATTATAAAAGAAATTATAATTTTTTGTGTAATATTCTGTTAGAATACCATAGAAGCCATCAAAAGTAATCGAAAGCAGCTTTTGCAAATGCCGCTTAATCTTTTTGCCAAGCAATCAGATAGATTTATTATTATTTGAAACTTGAAAAGTTTTTGAAAGTTTTTTCCGCTCCTTTGTTTACGTGATACTGTTCTTTTAAAGAAATATTTTTTGTTTTATTCTACTTTTTGCCAAACCGGTTCGATCAGGTGCTCATTTGGACATCGAGGAAGCCATTATGAACATATTAAGGCCATCAAACACAAGCCAAAGCCAAATATGCATACTAGTATGCTCAAGGCATTGTTAGGCAGAATTTGGAACTGTTTTGCTGACTGAAGTTTTGTGAAAAAAAATTTTATATTTTATTGCAAAATATTGGTACACTTATGCTGATCTACAAATATATTCCATTTTTGAATGGCTGTTCTGCGTGCTTAATTTGATGAGTAATGTTAAATAATATTTTCTCATCGACCATATACTAACCGCAGTACTAAGAAAACTGATCTGTAGTGGATAGAATTATTAGTTCTCGTAAATGGTAAAAGAAATTGAACTTTTATAGTATTTTACTAACGTGTAATATTTATTTTGTCTTTTGGCCATAATACTAGCATATCGGGTAACAATTTTAAAATGTCTTTTGATTAATGAATACTCGACATGACTAGTAATGCTTCGATTCGGATCTAGAAAAACCACTTTTACTTAATTTAAGTAATATGACGATAAGTTCTACAAAACGCTTTGCAAAGTTTCTCTTTTTTCATATTGAATGCTCCCATGCTTTTAATACCGTATTGCATAAAATCTCAGAAATTATTTATATAAAGCAGTTCAGCAACTTATCTAATAGATTTCGCTTTTTTATTTGCAAATTCAAAAGATGTTGATACGTTTCTAATCGCACGGGTAAGTAGCCTTTGCAATAAAATTTTTAAATAACATAAATTCTAAGAATTCTTTATTGAAGGAATTCGAATATATGATTTTTCAGATAGATTTCCTATTGTGTTTAGATGGAATATAATGCACATATTGCACTTATTATAGGTTACTTATTGTAGGTAACTGTGTTTACGGTCTGAATGTTGCAGGTTTCATACAAGATTTTATTGCTATCTGAATAGCTTCCGAGTATTTTTGTGACATGATTTTCCTATTCTGAATTCAAGTACTACATTTCTAGATGAATATTCAGTTATCCCCGTGTGCATATTTCGTAAGTGGAAATCTGTATTGCCACCGGAGGTGTGGCTTCTAGATTGGACAAATGGGCGTCCAGTAATATTTCTGTCATTTCTCATGACATTTGCCGCATATTGAACAAGATAATTGAAAATATTTTGTCACTTAAGTTCCTGTACAAACTAATTAAAGCATCAGGCGTTCTTGCGAAAATTTTCAGTGGGAAGTTATATCAAATATAAGCATAATTACAGGGTGTCCGTAATTAAACTTGAAATTTGCGAGCAGTCTGTAGCAAAAACTATACAGCGGAATTGCCCGAAAATTTTGTAATGGCAAAATGAAATGACGGTAATTTTATCGAGGGGAAAAAACAATGAGTTTCAAAAATCCCCCATAAGTGGCGTATCATAGCTTTATTGAGAACATAAAAATAATCTACAAAAGTTTACAAAACATGCTGGATATGATGTCTACCATTGTCTGCCACCATCTAGAAACGCAAAATCGCATGTTCGACTTGTTGAAAGCACCATAAACCAAGGAATGTTACGCACATGGCATTCTATGCTTTCGTTAAGGTCGGAATGAGATGGCATGGGATTACGGTAGAATACGCCCCCCCCCAAAGCCAAAAGACGTGAGGATTCAAGTCGGGGAATCTAGGAAGCCAAGCTATAGTAAATTGTCGGCTGATGATTCTGTCATCCCCGAAATGGCGGCGGAGCACTTGTTTCACACAACGGGCGATGTGTGGAGTAGCACCATCCTGCATAAACGGGTTGATCACATACTTGCTGAGAGCCGGAATAACGAATTGCTCTAATAATGAAGCGTATCGTTGATCGTTGACGGTGCATGTCACAGGCCCTGCGGTGTTGTGCTCTTCGAAAAAAAAACTGACCCAAAATGAAGTTTGCAGTAAAGCCGCACCAAACCGTTACATGCGAAGAGTGTAATGGAATTTTTAGGAATTGATGTGTGTTTGTAGCAGCCAAATACGGCAGTTGTGCGTGGTAACCGCACCTTACATATGAAAGTGTGCTTCGTCGGTACACAAACTGTTCCATGGCCATTCATCCTAGAGCTCAACTTGCGCGAGAAAACGCAACGCAAAAGTTTCTCGACTATCCAGATCAGCTGGTAAGAGCTGCTGCGCTAGCGACACTTTATAGGTATAGTATCGTAAGACGTTTTGAAGATTCTTAAGAACCGTGGAACAAGATTAGTCAACAGATGCTGCAGTATGCCGAACACTAGTGATGTCGATAGTTTGCGATCTGTCTTCCTCCACACTTGCGTCGCTACATTATCCACTACCTGTGCTGCAACACACTCTCGTCTCCTTTCTAGCTGAATCCCCAATGTTCCCATTGCTTCAAATTTCCTAATCATGTTTGTTAGTACTTGATTAGTGAGTGGATCTTTTCGTAACCGCAAGACCGAAATTTCCTCAAAGCTTTGGTAACAGAGTCTCCGTTTTGATAAGCAATTTCACCAGTTAGCACGTTCCTGGAAAGTCAGCCTCATCCTCCTTGACTTGAAAACGAGTATGACTACGTTTCCCCTCTCGCATCTTTGTAGGGTTGCTGTGCGTGCACAGGTTTACTATGGTAACAACATATACATATGCCAATAGTTTACATTGCACAACGCCATCTAAAAGGGGATTTTGAAACTCATTGTTTTTTTCCCTCTCTAGAATTTCCATCATTTCATTCTGCCATTACCAAATTTCATGCTATTCTACTGCATAGGTTTTGCTACAGACATATCTCAAATTTCGATTTTAATTATGGACACCCTGTATATATGTAAACAGTAGAAATCTGAGCATTCTTTATTGAAGTCTATATGAAAAAGATGTATAGTAATAGCCAATGCATAGTTGTATTCAAAGCGAATTTCCATAATTTGAATTTCTGCACATTATTATGCTGAATTTCACAATCTTGCACTTTCAAAGTGAAACGAATCCAAGCATTGAGACGATAAATTACCAGATTCATTGTAACACAGTTATTGTCAGCTATATATATATATATATATATATATATATATATCACTTGAATTCTCTTAATCCCCAAGTGTCAGTAAGTGCAAAATATTCAAGGCTGATTGCAGCTTGAATTATTTCCTCGATATAAAGAGCAATAATATGCCACGAAGTTAAATCCTAATATCCAAGTGCGTAATAAATTTCGCGAAAATAAATGAATAAAATAAAAGCAATATGAGATTTTCTACTAAAATGATGTCAGAATTTATATTCCATATATTTATAATTGCGAAACAAATGCAAAATAAAACTTAACAACAAGCATGCGCTCATATGCACAGATTCAAAAAACAGTAGATGCCCATTGGTCTTTTTCTGAAACCCCTCCCTTAGTGCCGATACTGATGGCAGCTGCGAATTATGCTCCCGGTATTGTCATCTGTGTGCAAAATGGAGTATCATAGCCTGAGATATTAACTTCAGTAAATTTTATAGGCGTGGTGTCAGAAAATAAGACCAGAAGTTCTGTCGATGCTCATTATTTCTGATGAACACAGCCCATCAAAATTTAGGTAAGTGAATTATGAATCCTTATTTAAATAATTTTTTCTTATAATATCTTACATACGTTAAAATTAGTTTCGTGAGAAAATATTGCACTTTTCATATAAACATGCTCAGAAACTGCGTTATCTTTTAAAATGCTTAAAGTGGAGCTTGGGCTTGAGCTGGCCTCCAGTTATTCGTTTTAAACAAAATCTTTAAATTATGTTGCTGATCAAATAAGTTTTCTTTTTTATTTAGATACACTCAAAAATCTTCTCGATACTTGAATAATTTAATCATGTGATATGTTGTTTCACATGTACTGTGTGTTACAAATCATGTGATACTGTGTATTTATTTCAGTGTATGCTGATATGAGCACATTCCTTATGAGCAGGGTTCCACATCAGCTTATATTTTGTATAGGTAGCGTATTTTAGCAATATCCAGAAGTTGTTCAAACCATGTTCTGTAAATTCGCTCTCTAGAAATAATGACACATTTAGCACAGAATATTATAATCAAATTCTGAGTTAAAAATATGTCAAGTCTAATAATGTTGAGAAGTTACGAAATCTAACTTTTTAAAAGAATATATTAAAAAAGTTAAGATTAAAATACCAATGATAGCTATAAGAATATTTGGATCTATGTATATATGCATTCTTTCTGTGCAAACGCTAAAGCAAATTTTTAATGTGAATATAATACAAAATTGACATTCTATTAAAATGTATAAAAATTATTTATCTTAGAATAGTTGAGTAAAATTAAATAAGAAAGATTTAGTTTTAGCTTTAAGCACTTTGAAATACATAAATTAATATTATGAGCACTAGTATGGGTCGATTTTATCTAATAATTCTAATAACACTATTTATTAAATCTAATAAATTCTATCTAATATGTCTAACGAATACATCTAAGAGTGCAGGATCATTAGAAATGTAATTAATTATGTAATCGATTTTTAAATTCTGTTACTCTCATGCAAACGGTTCTGATTACTAGAAACTGTTATTTTTCCCTTTATTACGTCTTATTAGAAATTTTAATTGTCTTCCATAATTGGTTACAGGCAGAATCTCTAGTACTCCAGTTTTAATAATTATTGGCACGACCGCCCGCCATTATTACATTTTAACTTACACCGATTGTGGCATTAATTATCATTGAAATCTACAGAAAGGAAACGAATAATTAATGACATAGCTATGGAAGCAACATTCATGGTTATTCATGGATAATGGTTTTTAAAGGAAAATGAAATACGCTATCAAGATAGTATTTATATGAAGGATGTTGGCAGAAGTTATCAGCTCATAATTTATTTCTACATTGCGGTTTCTGAAAAATATTCAATGTTAGATTCTCACTAATTCCGCTGATGTTCAAATTTAAGGCAGTTTCGCATTTGGTAGGTTATATTTAGAGCTGATGGATAAATTTAAATGAAATATTGATGTGCATAATATGATATAATACAAAAAATATACACTGTATTTATTTGCGTAATTTTCTTCGTCAGCTTTTTAACACAACATTATGAAAGTGTTTTCTCCCTTTTACCGCTTCATTTTTAAATATTCACGTTATTTCCTCTTCGTTAAGATACCAGAAAACTTACTGTTAGAAAACAGCTGCGGTGCATACTCGAGATCTTTCAAAAGCTCATTGCCACAGCCAGATCTAAAACAGCGCTTCACGACTTAGCGCGGCTAATACAGGGTATAATACTCCTCAAGTCATATAATCCCTATGGCAGCTGAACCCACTCCTGTCGCTTGAAGTTTTGAAGTCTTCAAAGGTTCTGAAGGCTAGAAAACAAGCTCGAGTTATCCTTGCAAAAGAGTCCCAGACATGTCCTATAAAGTTTACGTCTGAAGATCTGACTATTCAGTAGATCTGGTAAATATCCTCAAGTTAAAAAAAATCATCCACCATCCATCCAGGAAAACATCCATAATGGGGACCAGGTTTGTAGTTCATAAAAATTAGCTGAATCCCAACTGTACCCTTGAAAACCTAATCTTGGCACTCAAAGATATAGTTTCTCTCATTGTATCCGTTCAACATAATATCTCCCCATGCTATCAAACCTCAAATCTTTTTCGGATTATTGTAGCTCAGGTACCAAATCCCAGGTTCTTCATCGACGTACCTTCATCTGATACCACGATTGTTGTATTGTATGTTATTACATAAACCTAAACCGATATCAAACTTCATTAAAATCTACTCACTATTTCTGGAGGTAGTCAACCAAATATGAAAATTCTCAATTTTGAACACCAGTATAAATAAGCCACAAAATGGACTAATATGTCTGAAAGAAAACTTACTACATAACTAATTTATTTACTTACTGAACATATATACAAGTACTAAATGTCTTAAATCCATTCCACGTTTTACTAAAGTATTTGAGCCCTAGTTCTACATAAAAACATTTAAATATACTTTTACATTTTCAGAGTGAACGGGCCAGTGTCTAATCTACCAGAGTTTGCGGAAGAATTTCACTGTTCTTCAAATTCTCCATTGAATCCAGAAAACAGATGCAAAGTTTGGTAACATAACGAATTTCACAAATCGGAACATTTTGAAGCGTTTCAGTATCACAATTTTCTACATACCTTACAGTGTTACAAATATATGTTTCACCTACAAATGTCTGGATGTAATCTGCTTCAGCTTACAGATCTATAGTTATTATTAATTCCTTTTTTCTAAATAAAAGTGAAATGTTTTTGTACCAATTTTTCCACATTTCTCAACATAAGTTTAACATTGAGAATATTAGAATAATAACCTTTTAATCTAAATTTAATTGTACTGCAAACACGGTCCTACCTTAAACATCTACAGACGAAAGAAATTTAACCTACACATTAATAGACATTAGCAAGAGATAAAATACATAGAATTAATATCTTTGTTTACTAGCACATAGCCAGCATAAAATAAATTTTTCTTTTAAAATTAAATCTTAAATAAAATAAATTAATGTAGCACAGTTCATCAAATATTAGGTAATAGTTGATTTTTTATTATTTTTTTAATTTTCTCTCATGGAGTAGCCGAAAGAATTTTAAGCCGAGATATCTTTCTGAATTATATTTGGGTAAGCATAAGCTAATTCAAGAAAATTAAAAATAAAAATCTTAATTTTCAAAACGAAAATTAATCAAAAGAGAATAAATCAATAAAAAATAAATTATTTTGATAAATTAAAAAATATTTCTCACGGAGTAGCAGAAAGAAATTTAAGCAGAAATAGTTTCTCTATATTTTAGTGAATAAATTAATTCAAAAAAATTTTAATTAAAACTCTTAATTTTCAAAACTAAAATTAATGAAATGGGAATAAATCAATACAAAATAGATTTTTGATAAATTAAAATAAAAAAATAAATTTAAAAAATCTGAAAGTTTTCAGAATTTAACTAACCGTTGTTGCAAAGGGTTTAATAAGTTTTTTTTTTGCGCTTTCACTGGGCTCGCAGTCTATCAGTCTGCGCTGTACTCGCTCTTGCTAACCGATTTTGTTTTGATTCTATAAACGTCCGTTTCACTTTTCAAACCGTTGCCCCCAAACATGGAGTCCTGCATTATATTTGAAGAAATTAAATAATGAAATATCTGCATAAATGGGTCTATATTTCTTGTACTGTGATAAAACAACGGTACACAGAGCCATCGAATTTTGAATGACGTAATCCTACTGCGAATATGGGCTTGTGTTCTTAATTAACAAACTCAAGGATTTCTGAGCGAGCAATGGCAACGTTGTACAGAAAAAAAGATTTTTATCTCCAGCACGCGCGACTCTGTATCGAAAAATTTGCTCATTTTAAAACTATTTTGCGATATTGCTCTTGAACTGAATTTTATGGTTTAAGTGTGAAAAACGTGATCTTTAATAAATAAAGGTAACAGACAAAATGTTAAAAAACTTTGGACGTAATTTAAAATCTGAAACCTTTCAGAATGTTTTTATTGCTCACTTTGTGTCTGTTAACTTCATTTATTAAATATCACGTTTCTCGCGCTTACACGATATAAAATTCAATTCAACAGCAAAATCGGAAAATATTTCAAATGAGCATATGTTTAAAATTTTCGATATACTGTCTCGTGCGCTGGAGATAAAAATGTTTTGTCATAAAACTGTTTAAAAACGTATTTTTCCTTTAGCAAACACTATTTAAATTTGACACGAAACAAAATATTAAACAGAAAAGACATCAAAAACCATGATAAATGCAAAATGCGTAAACTTCGCAAATGTGAAGTTAGTAAATTTAAATAAATTTTAATTTAAATTCGGATAATGGATAAAAAAACACAGTATCCAAAAAAAAAGTTAAAAGTAATAGTATATAATTGGATTATTACTCCTGGTCTCCGATTAATCTTTTAATGCACCTGGTGTATTGAGAAGAATGCAAAGAAAATTAAAAGATGTTATTTGAGTAGTGTGCGGGCTATTTTGTAAAATGGTAAAATAACACACAATTATTGTTAAGGTAATGTGTGTGTGTGATTATGGCAAAGCTTCGAGGGATATCTGCCTAATGAGAGGGATGCCTTCGTGGAGGACGTTCTAAGGAAAACTGGCTCATATACACGGTACACATGGGGAAAACCACGAAAACACCCATGCGGCCAGCCCGTTCGCGGGATTCGAACCTCGGACCGAACTACCAGAGTTCAGCGACTTTATCGCTCGGACGCTGGTGGGCTGTTAAGGTAATGCATGTAAATCAATATATATATTATAAAAGTCTAAAAATGGAAATTTAAATAAAATCAAAGTTTGATAAAAAATTAAAGTGAAATAGAAAATTAAAATTTTTTTCCTAGAAGAAAAAATTTCCAAAAGAACGTGTGCAATATAAATAAAATGTAAGTGGTAACAGTAAGTGTAATGATACAAGTTGAGTAGTGTGAGCACCGTTTCATAAACTTGCATTGTTAGTAATACTACTGTGTAAATTAAAATTGCTTTATACTGAACAATTAATGTTACAAACGTTCTTAAATATTTTTTTTTTTTAATTTTTAGAAGTATAAAAAAATCTGAATTTAAGTGCTGTTTTATTAAATTTGGAAAGAGCCTAAGCATTGCAAATGTGGAAGATAGATACTATTTTTTTAATGGTTCTCTTATTGTACCTGGAAGTTTTATAATTTATTCCATTGCTCAGCCCTTTTGTAATGAATTTATAAAAATGCTTTTCAAATGCTGCTCAGGTTATTTTTTGGTTATCTAAGGAGGTAATCATAAACTGTTTTTTTTTAATTATTTGATGCAATTAATGACTTCTGGGAATTTCAGTTTAAATTTCGGAATTTTAATTTTGAAAATTTTACTTTTAATATGTACAGAAATACCTTTTGGCCATTCTAAAAATGTACTAATAAGGATAAAAAATATTACTTGTTTAAAATATTTTAATTAATATTGAAGAAAATGATCTCAAAACACTTTTTTTTTTATTTTGTCTTTGTAAGTATAAAGAATAGCACCTCGTTTCATAAACCTTTTTTTAAATTTTAAATTTTCAGTAATTTCTTAGTTCTGGGTAATAATATATTTGTTATCATTATTTTTTTTTAATTTACCTTCCTCACAGAAACAAATGTCATCTATTCTCACAATCTTTTTTGTGGTTTTTAATCATGAAGCCTAAGATTTTAGTATACTAGAAGCAAATTCTAATTTTATCACTGGAAACGAGAAACAGGTTTTAGTAGTTTAGAATACTTGATTAAAATCAGTTTGATCAAACATATGGTGTAAAAATTCAGTGAAACAAAAGTTTTCAATTTTATTTTTAGTTTTAGTCTTAGCAGTTAATTTATACCTTAGAAAACATCAGTAATACTATAATAGTTATAATAGAATGCTTTGGACTGAGCTGCTAAGTTCTTTTCCTAAAATTCTAAAAGTTCTATTTCTTAAGCAGAAAAGGTTTTTAGTAGTTGCAGCAAAATTTATTTAATTAAAGAAATTTTCTATAAACAAATAAATACTGCGAGAGTGTTCGATTATAATTAAAGTTTTTATTTCTGCCATGAGAGCCGCTTTTAGTTTCATTTGGATAAATTTCAAAATTTCGATATATGAAAGAATTGGTTTTATCTATGTTGATGGTCGATAACTCTGTTGAGTCCAAATGGATAAAGTGTTTTGAGTTTAAGAAAGTAAATAGATTCTTGCATATTTTTTTTTGGAATGAGTAATAATCTCCGTGATTTCAATCATAATTTATATATTATTTAATTTTTTAAATTTATAATTTCTAATATACATATACACGTAAGTTTCTGATTGAGAATTTTTTGTTTGCAAGAATGTGGAGTTTAAATTCCTATAATTTGCAAAAAATAACTATGTGTATTCAAAAGACTAAACAAATAAACCTCATAATTATTTTCACTTTTTGATTACGTCGTGAAAACAGTTTTTTTTCCTAAATGCTAACATAGCTATTCCCTTCAATTTTCCCCAGTTTAAAGAGTTCTCTTCCTTCTGATTGGTATCATAATTCAGGTCTTATTTTTGGTTTCGTCTCTCGAGTCGTGAGAAACATACGTAGTTATCTACCGAACGTGATTAGAGTGGGTTAAATTATGAGGATGGGCGTTGGTAATCTATGCCTAATAATGGCAATTGTCTGCCATACAAATTAATCATATCCAAGTTTTTTTGGGTGTGTTTGTGTGTGTAGATAAACGTACGCTTTTTAATCATCTAATGATCTTACATGTATCGCTATAAATTGCACCGCACAGTTTATATCTTAATGAAGATGTTTCAGATTTTAAACACAGCTTTATCTCATTTCCTATACTCGTATGTTCTTTCTTCAGAGTCCCTCTTTATTTTAGGAAAACAAGATTAAACATGAAATAAAGATAGGTACATGTATACATACACACACACATATATATATATACACGTAGCTATATATTTCTTTGAACAATGTAATATGTAAGATATATTTTTTCGAAAATTTAAAATGAGAGGAGATAAATAGTGTACGTTAGAAGTTAATAGATTATTTATATTTAATTTTGCATATTTTACTGACTATCGTAAAGGAAAAGGAAGCCAAAAATTATATACTTCAAAATGTAAATGTTGAAAATTATTTACTTCAAAATGTGAATGAAATACTCATATATGCGTCTGAAGAATATTTAAAAAAACATAAAAGGATCGTTTTCTGTTTAGTGTATGCATCGAAAAACAAATTGTTTTTAATATTTACCATTTGGGATTGCTATCTCCAAATAATTTGAAGTTTTGAATTGCCATAAAATAAGAGGGAAAATAATTTAACTACGAATTTGAATAATGCTAAAATATTATAAAACTGAAAAATTCCTTTACTACTGCCTTATTATAACTTATGAAGCTTCAGATATTATAATAAAGAAGTAATAAAGGAATTTTTCCGTATGCTAAAACGAAATATCTTTGACGTATATATATATATATATATATATATATATAAAAAAGTCTGCAGAATACCTGTTCTAACGCAGATATGAATGTTCATTCTTAAGTCTTTTTCTTTATTCATTAACACAGATCTCCATGTGACTTAATTTGAATGAAATAATATGATCATAATATCGTTTGCGTTCAGTTGGCTGTGAACTTAGTTTAAAGGGGGTTTATGTGACTGAAAAATGTTTGAATTTGTTTTAAGAAAGGAGGAATCAATGGTATAATAAAATTTGAGGT